CACAAGCAATTGCAAAGGATAATTAAATATCAACTTAGGTGTTACATATATGTGATGAAGATAAAAATGAATGTGAAAAGTTGATTTATACAAGTGTAACATAAAATAATTTGTTTTTGGTTACGTGCTTTGGATGTTTAGGAGGAACAAATAGGACGTAATGAATATCTAATGTGTTGAAGGACCAATCATAATAATAATAACAATAATAATCATAAATATGAACATATGAAGACTTCAGATATTGAAATGAATAGAAAGAGAATAAAACAAAACAAACAAAAAAGTTTAAAAAGTTATACAGTTGTACTTTGTTCTGGCGTGTCTAGTGTGTTGTGGGTCATTGTCAGATAACCTCTTATTCTCCTGTAGCTCAGTGAGAATAATCCCGGTTCTTGTAGTCTGTTCCCGTAAGATTCATCTTCTAGCCCTATTTTCCATTTGGTTGCCTGCCTCAAACTTCGTCTGAGAGATTAGGTGTAGCAAGATCGTGGACTTCAAAGTAGGGCCATGCGTACGCTTTAAACAGTGCCAGGAACAACCCTGAGGAGATTGCGCCAAGTGGCTTAAACAAAAAAAGGAGAGCTGTGTTTGTCTCGATTTCATCCTCAATGTAGTTTCAGCTGATGTCTAAGCGCTGTTTAGATACAAGCCCGAGAACATGCTCTGAGAAGATAATCGGGAGCGGATTCCTATGGAGAGTGCAAATGTTCTTTGTCAAATGAGGCGGAATGTTCATGACATAACATTTCGACAGATCTAGTTTTACCTTATTGTATACTCCCTATTACTTTGTTGTCGTAACATCCTTTTCAAGCTCATGTCAATCTCACCCGCCTTTCATGAACCTCGAGATCTTTGCGTCATCTTCACAGATCAGTGCTGTCAAGCTTATCTGACACGTTGATAATACAGGTTGAAAACAGGAGTGAATTGAAGATTGTTCCTTATGAAACTCTTTATGGTGAGATTTTCTAACTAACATACGTTCTATTCACCGTGATACAGAACATCCTGTTTTTTAGGTAGTTTCGAAGCCAGCATAAAAGTGGGTCAAGTAAACTCATGTTTTCAACTTCTTATCGGTTGAGTACATTAGGTACCGTCTCAAAGGCCTTCGTGAAATTGAGAAATATTATGCGAGCCTGTATGGTACAGTTCAATCAAGTCGTCCAGCTTTCCGATGTTATGAGTGGTTGGACTAACTGGACCTACCTTTCCTCAACCCGTGTTCGGCTTCATAGTGTATACCGTATTTTGTCCATGTATTCCCTTATTTGTTTACAAATAAGCCATCAGATTATCTTCGACATTATTGGGAGTAATACGACTGATCTGTAAGAGGTTGGAGAGAATATGGCTCGTTCCCATTGTCTTGGGAGTTTATGTAAATTTAGTCAGTGCCTAAACAGGTCCTAGTGATTTCAGCACCCTGATTCAGGAATATAGATTGAGTTTTATCACATCCTGGCGACTTTCCTGGGTGCAGGGATTTTATTCCCTCTAATACTAACTTAGAAGTTAGTTGAATATCACTCAGACCCTTAACTGGTACATGAGTTTAGAAGTGTTCCGTGAATGTAGTGTCAGCTTGTATTTTGGCTGCTAGCTCGGTCTGAAAACACAGCCGCGAACTCCAGAGTTGTATCTGTCTCTCAATTCCAAGCAATAGGTGTGATCAGAATCGTGTAGGAGAACTTTCTACGGGCATACGTTCATTGTCTCGCTTATTCAAGACCATTGCTTTCCGGTTGTGTGCTTGCCATGAGGTACATTGTGATGAATAGCGTATCGAATGATGTACCTCACTACCTCTAAGTCACCATGTTTTGTTAAACTCCAACATTCTCGTGGCCATGAGGTGTAGTCCGCTCTCGTGTACCGAAGGTAGGGAATATCTTTATCTCTACAACATCTGAAGGTGCTAAGCACTTGCTGGGTCATTCCTGAACGTCTAATGGCTGTAGAAAACTGCTTATGGAGACACCATGTAGAGGTTATATCCTGCAGGCTGAGATCTAGGAATGGAATGTTGAAGTCTTCAGTTGGTGGTACTTGGTCACAACACCAAGGATGGTAGTATCACCTTTATTATCTCAATGTTTTGGGCGTTGAAACCTGTAGAGTGACGGCATATTTTTCCAATCGATTACTGTGTGCCGTTCACATTGAATCAACACCAGCATGACTTTGTTTTCTCGATTAATTTGGTACTGTGGGTGTTACGGCTTAGAAGTGGCTACTTCACCTGTTACATTTTGTATATTATCGTATCGTAAACATGTCATGTCTTTCAGGCTCATATGTTCATCTGCGATGAAAGGGGATGGCCGTGCTTTGTCGTAGACTATGATCTTCAGGTCTAACTGAAGGCACATCACCACGTGGTGTAGCTCCATGGTAGCTTTCGCCTCGTGGTTTTTAAACAGATTGTCTCAAGTGTGTCGGCCAGTTCCGTGAGAACTGGCAGTTGTAGGTTTTTTTGCCTGTGTGGCGTGTTCCGTTGGCAGGATCGTTGTCTATTTGTCCTTCAAGGTAGGTTGCTGATCAAGGTCAACTGACACCAAGGTGCGTTTTACTGAGATTTCTTGCTGTTGTCTTATCGATCTACGTCGGTTTTCACACATCTAGCGTGACTAGAGGTGCTGTCTTTCTATCTGTACCAAGCTTGAAGGCCCTCGGTTAAGCCCTCTCGGTTTCTGAAGTTCATAACCATCAGACACAGAGACTCAATAGTCGTTAGGTATAATAGACTAGATATGCTGAGCGCACGAATTATCGTAGTGATGTGAAGGTCTATGACGGGTATTATCCATAGCTACTGTTGCATATCGTGTTTGTGGGCTTCAACCCAATTATCATCTACTAGCCCAGGCAATCCACATACGACCAAACTGAATGGTTCTTGGGAGTTTTCCGATCATACAACGGCATCTATTATGGTTCACATTTTGTCGTGTCTGCACGGTGGTCTGTGGAATGTCAGTAGAATTTCTTCTATAACGTGTGCTGAATCCAAAGTTACCCTCAGTGTATGTGGTTTGCCGTTTTGATAAATGTTGGCACTTGTGCAGGAAGTACGGGACGGTCTTTCCCACCATCCTTTTGTTTTCTAATCTTACTAGGAGTGGGATTTAAGTATGGGTGTGATCCTGATTCCTTGGTTGCAGATTTAGTTTCAGTGTGTGATTTGGATGATTCATTTTGTACACGTTACTCGGAGATTCTTTTTCTGGTGTTGTTTTGAGCTTCCTTATAATCCTAATGCTGGGAAAAGGATTTTCTACTCATTAATAACCCATGAATTTCGACCTTTATTTCTGTTGGTTGCCTTGGAGGTTTTTGTGCAAATATTGGTGGTAACTTTATTACCGTGTATGCCAATCAATTGACTAAAAGTAAACTATGAAGTTACATAAGGAGGACGTACACGAGATGAATGTTTCGAAGGACATTATATGCTACACGAGAACGGGACCTGAATGACATTTCAAATTACAGCCTTACCTTTGAGCATCCTAGCAACTAACTTCTTGTGGATTCATTAACTTATTAACAAGTCCAGATTTGGGAAGCAAATGGATTTGTACACGTCTCAGCTGAAAAACTAGGGAGAGAGCAGTCGATCGAGACAGCTAGAATTAGCACACAGTGGTTCAACATTTGCATGATTATGGTCAGACTTGTTATTATGGTTGTCTACCAGAAGGGGGAAGACGCAGAAAGCATCCTTAGAAGCATTTAAATTTTTAAATATAGTGGTGGTAAGGTGGTGTAGATCACTAAAGTAGATGGTCTTTGTCGAGTGACTGGGGGTCTATTGGACGGGAACGGTGTGACCAACCAACCAACGTCGGATTCACACCTCACGGTCGACACTAAACGTGTATTACCCCTTCGTCGTACAATGCAACCGACTTTAATACAGAAATATATTAGTAAAAGTAGGAGCAAGGAACAAAGTGCGGCCTCTGCTACATGGACCAGTCCATGGCGTGCAATAAACTGATGCACATTAATTGTCCTTGATTTTGCCAAGGACCGGTGAACTGTTCAATATTAAGCCACTCCACTGCCGAATGATTTGGATCAGAGACGTTTCGCTGACTGTACAATCGATATTTCAGGTTATTGGTGAGATAACTATGAGTCACGTCAAGCGCGAAGACCGCGATGATAATGCAGAAAGTCTTAAGCATACTGGTTGAGTGAGCAAGTGATTGGCCATCAAAAGTAAATTATATCGAACATATAGCAGTTAAATAGCAATTACAGTGATTTACAGAGATAGACAATAAATATAATCGACTTTACGATCCAAGAGTTATAAATAGTAACCGTCTTACAACTACAAGTAACTCGAATGCGGTAGTTGCTAGAGGCTTCTGAGTCTTATGAGCCAATCACAAATCCCACCTGAAATACATGATTTAAGTAATTAGTTCTTTTTGCAAATACTCATTTGATGTAACTGAAAAGGTTCAACAGTAAAGAACCAAAATGACTAAAGGTCTTCCCGACTTACTTTGTTGAGACAAATTGAGATGTATAATACTGTTCTTGCTATATCAACACAGATTGTGAGATGGTCTAATGGTGCTTTACAATATAGGGAAAATGGTTCTGATATGAATTCCTGAGCCAGCACTAACCATTTGAAATGATATTCTCCGTGCATAAAATACGATGAAATGGTTCACTTCTAAAGTTTCTTTACGTGGATCAAGTGGCAAAATTTCTGGACTGCTCCACCGGATTACGTAATTCCAGTATCTTCTGCTGATGGGTTCATGAAGAGATCGGATTTCAACAATACTAACGATTGCAAGATTTAACCCGTCGCTTGAAATCCTATCTTTACTTTTGAAAACTTGAAACTGACATCAAAAATCATTTTGCTTTGAAATCTTTCTAAAAAAAGGACACACTTTCTGAGGCGAAATAACTGAGTATTCCTGTTTTGTTTTTTTGTATCAATGAGTAGCCTTGTTCACACTGCCGCAGTATACAGAAGTTCTCATCTTACGGTATAGACTCTGTTGACTGTTGGGTAGTACACATATGGATGTTGTGATTGATAGCCGGGATTCAGTGAGTAATCTTGATCAGTCCCGTTGGGGCACAAATCTAGACAATTTACTGAATGATTCAGACGGTGTGGAATTTTTCAACAAATTTCTTTCTTATAAACATTCTGCAAGTCATCTTCTTGATTTCTGGTTTGCCTGCAAGGGCTTCCGGTCAAATGCTGACTTGTCCAATCCTGACAAGCTTTTTCAAGTTGCTAAGGTTATTTATAGGACTTATATAAAGTCAGGTGCTTCACACGCAGTCCCGCTTCCTTATATTTTAAAACAAAACATTAATGAGTGCCTGTCGTCCTACCATCATGGGTACAAAAAAGGCCTCTCTTCCAATGCTTCTGTACAACCTCCTGATCGGTGTCTGTTTGACTCAGCACAGAATGTTGTAAAAAGTCTTCTGGAGCAAAAATATTATCCCGAGTTCCTTACCTTCATCGCATGTCCTAGCAATTTATTATGTATAACTTCGAGTAGACCACTCTGTTCTGACAGAAAAACACGAAACAAGTACCTCGAGTTTCTTTATTCAGACTATAAACTGGAAAGTCGTCGATCAAATCGCACTAAACACAAGTCATTTTCTGAATTCAATAGGTTTTCTGCTGATCAGTAAGTTCTATAATAATTTTTTTTCGGTTTTATTTGGCCTGTTAAACATGGATGTTTATTGCAAAAGTTAGCCATATTACTTCTTAATTACTGCCTCGGTACTGGTCCATTTAATCCATCTCAACCTTCCGTCTTACTAACCGTTTCCGAATCGTCATTCGTTTACTATGATAAAGCCAATCTTATTACTAGTTATTGGAATTTCAGGTCATAGGTTTAAGGGGACATATTACTAAAACAGGACTCGGATCTATTAACTAGCTCGTACCCAATACCCATGTTCGTATTTTCAGATGAGATTAAAATTCCACTAACTCGTGTTTTAGGTATTGAGGTTCGTGAGTAGAGTTGAGATTCGCCAGACTTTTCAGACTGTTTTATACATAAATTCACATAAGTTCACCAACCAGCTACAGTTTTTTTTGTCCGAATTACTGATATTCACAATAACATTAAAATAATAAATATAGCCATGATAGCTTTATGTTTGCTCCCAATTTTTTTCTGGTGGAAAACACTAAGTTGATTGGGCAGGGTTCTGGTTTTAACTTGGTTGAAGGCAGAGGTTCAACTCGTAAGATACCTCTATACAGCTCGATAAGTATATGTACATGTACTTGGCTTCGCACTGCAACAAGGTTGAATGACACTACCTGGCACCAATATATATTAGTTAGGATATAGTTTTAACCTGTGATTTACTGGTTAAAAGTAATGGAACTAATAATTTTACAGTAGCAAAAGTTAAACAATCAATCTGCAACTGGAATTTTAACTAACTACGCCATAGTTTACGTGCCAAATACTTTACGAAGCTGAGTTATATATAAGAAGGGATAGGACTTCCTGATTGATACTTAGTGAGGTATACCTCTAATCCTAAGTTATATTTGCATATTATACCATCTTTGGTGGCCAATATATGAATTATTTAACTTACTGTTACTAATTAATTCGATATTTAATGTTATCACCATAGAAATGCCAGAAATATTTATGAAACTGTTGGTAAAAAAGAATACGAAAGTCTCTTCCTAATGTTTAGTCCTTTCGAATCCATATTTAATTTCCACCCATCAATTACTGATTGATTATAATCAATACCAATGCGAGCCGCAAATTATGTCATTGAAACGAACATATATTTATCATTGTGCTAAAGAAATGTTGAATATGATCTCAGGTTTAGAATAGAAACACTGAAAAGTAACAGCCCAATACGTGATTATAAGCGCAAAAACAATCTAATTCTTGATTTTCTTAAAAACTAGATTATATGACATGCTTTTAGCGAGGTTGATGTCTAACCAATAAAAAATAATAAAATATCGAAGTTTTTACAGAGTAAAATTAACCGAACTGAAATTGAACATCTCATTAGACGGTTGTTGTGGAGTGGCGGCTCAGTGGTTAGGGTATTCGACTTTTACCTTTATTATTATTTATTTATTTTAACACATAGGTATTGGTACAAGGAGGCACCAAATACATATGCGCCACACGAATCTCAATTGATTTGTGTAAGGGCTGTGATACTGCCCGGGTGCCTAAATCGAAGCAGGTGGTTTTCTTAGGGGGCCGCACCCCGAGCCTTCGACCTGAACGTCTGACCCGCAAGGCAGTGGAGCATCGTAAAGAGATGCAGTCCCATGGTAGCCGGTGACCGAATATGGGTTCATACGCCATTTGTTCCTTCAGGATACTGGAGCCAGCCCATGTGCACGATTGGTTTGGGATCCGGTTAAAGCGACGGAAATTCACTTTTCGTCCTATCATTTTCGTAACCAACATCCCCGCCACGAGAAGGCAGTGAATAGGACTTCCCTGGCAGAGGCTATATACGCATGGCCATGTGAGAGCATTTGGAGAGGGAGAGCGGACTCTCCCCACTCTTGGCCGTACCAGGGCATTTGGGAACTTTTACCTATCGATTCATGGCTTTGAATGACTTCTCACCTACTTTGGTTCGGGGAACCGTTAGCCCTTATATTTAGCGTAGCTCACACCCAAGTATCTGGTGAGTAAGTTTAACTTATTGCTGTTGGGTTTAACAACCCAATTCCTAGTAATTATTTTTGCGTAACATTAATGTTGGTATAACGATATTAGCAACAGTCAATTGTAAAGGTGCCCCCTTGTACCAATATTTATGTGTTCAAATAAATAAATAATAAATTGTAAAGGTATTTCTCAACTAGAATGTAGCATTCGGTAAATCCTAAAATACTAGAAAGGTTCCATGTTCCCCTATGTAAATACGATCAAATATTTAACCTCCATCATCTAGCAAAGTTCGTCAGAGTTGTCCAACTACATTCAGAAATGTTTATAGAGGTAACGCCTTCATTAGATGAATTTTCAAAGATCAGTCACTTGCCTGGAGACTTCATTAATTTAAAACAATTGACATATTTTTATTTGCTGGATATTCTAGTATGATACAAAGTTTCGAACTCATTGATGAACAATATGAGGATGTTTTGTCTACGTTTCGCTCCTTACAAATAGAAAATCCCGTATCTGAATCTGTCTTCATTAGTGATCAGTCTGACGACGGAAAATAAGGTAGCGGAGAGAGTCAACCACTTTAACTGTCTTAAGAGTTTCGTTAGCCTTAATTTGTTGTTGAGTTGATAGTCTAGTTTTATCATGATTGTGAAGATCGTGTTTGGCTTTTGTCAGTATATGTCACGTATAATGCAGTTGGGGTGATTTTTGTTGCGCAACTGTCAATCCTGTATCGCTTAAAGTCCGGGACAGTGTGTATGAAAGTTTTTATCATTTGACCGCAAATGTTCACGTATAATGGAACCACCAAGCAAGTACTACTAACGTTTTTTTTCATTTTGTTAATTTATGCGAATTGTGGTAACTTGTGCTAGGTCCTGCATTAGTTAACGACTGATGGAGCCTAATATCAGTTGTTTTACACTTTAAACTGTAAATTAAAATATCAACTACTTAAAATCACTTTTTATAAAAACAAAACCCAGTTATTATAGCCTACGAAATAAAATTTTGTATAATGGTGGTTTACTGATTTTAAAACACAACTTATAACCCACCATGTCACTGGTCAGAACCCCAGTTTTCCTTGGATCCAGGTAGTTAGTATTATTAGCCCTTACAAAAACAATGTGGGTTGAAACTAAATGTTCTAAAACTTTTACTTAGTGAATGGGGTACTATGAGACTGAACATCTTTAGTTTGACTAATACTTGTGTCAAGGGAATATCAGTAGATATGGGAAGAGTAACTAACGGATTTTCACTAGTTTAGTGATGAATATGATAACAAAATCGGTTAGTGGAATCAGGCCAAGTGTTTAGAGTGTTATATGTTAGAGACACTGGGGTGTTAAGGGATTTAATTGATGAATTCAAAAGTAGGACATAACGTTTTCCTCGGTTTTCATATCCGATATCCAGACATATAGGAATGGTAGTTAAAACCAGATTCTTGGTGAAACATTCTTGCTTTTGCATTATTAACAAACTTTAATGAATTGTTCAGTAAAGAAACAGTGAGTCAGTTAGTCACAAGCAACGTAGAACGCAACATTGGTTCAAGTTGCTACACCTTATCAACACAATGAAATGAAATTATCAGGATAATAGTCAGAATAATAGAAATGATAACAGTATCATGTTAGCAAAAAGGTAAGGAGCGAATGGATATACTCTTTTGTATGATTATTATTATCATTATTATCTGTCTTGATTAAGTGAACCAGAGTGGAATGTGGTTCGAACTTACAACCTAATTTGTTTAAAAAAAAAACTGGATATTAAAGATATCACATCATATACTGAATAGGTTTATGCCTAGTATATGTAGTCCATATGAAGATCATCTAATTTCATTTGAATTTTTTCTGAAACGATTTAACATATTGATAAGGTCGATTGAAGAAATAGTTAAATTTCCTAATAAGATAGAAACTCATGTAACTAGCTTGTAATAAAGTTGATCTATGCATTTTTCTATTTATAATCTCGGTGTTTATCATAAAGATTTAGGAAAGTAATGTATATATATATATATATATATATATATATATATATATATATACATATATCACTTACTGTTCTACATATGATTTGTATAAAACTTAAGGTCAATTGACAGAAACTAATTTCTTCACAATTCAATTTTGTTCTTTGATCTAAACATGATTCTACCATTTAACTTGTTCTTACACTTTTATGTATTTCTTTTTCTAATGTGTGATAGTAATCGGTATAAGCAAACAGTGAATATACGCACAGTTAGATACATACACCAAATTAGTAGTATTGTATAGAAATAAATAGTAGCAGATAGTGACTACAACGAAAAAAAAAACGCTCTTTTACCTAACATTTATGCTTCTGTTTTTATCAAGAATAATAACATAATAAAAAAGAACATTTTATGCAAAAATGGAAACTTACGACGCTCTCTCTCTCACACACACACACATACATGTATATACGTATACATATACGATCAAACAAATTTTATGTCAATGCACTAGACATAAAAGCAATGAATGTTTTAAGTGCACACGAAAGTATATAGGGAAATGTAAGTGTGTGTGTGTATGTATGTACATATGATAGAGAAAGTAAAAGGGTTATTTTATAAGAAAACGTTGAATTTATTGTCGGCATCTCACATCAAAAGACACCACCTATGATTCTATCTATCTATCTATCTATCTGTTTGAAGTAATGAGAAATCACACATCAAAGTAAACAACAACAAAAATAGCGACAAAGCAATAAAAATGAAGAAAAATTAAGCGCAACGTTTTACAGAACAGAGAACATGCGCTCGTGTGTGTGTGTGTGTGTGAGGTAGTGCGAGAAAGAGTGAGAGAGACTCATAAAATTCCATTTTGTGTGATAGATATTCTCTTAAATAGAATAGAGGATTTTTATGACTATTTTTTTTATTTTTTGTTTTCTTAATTTTGTCTAAAGGTATATTGTGATGATAATGATGATGGTGACGATGACTTCCATTTTATTTTTAACAATCTTTATACAGAAATGTATTTGTTCATTTTCTATAAAATAATTTTAAAAAATCAACCAGATATTCAATGTAAAGATGAAAAATTCAAAAAAACAGTTGGTTACTAAGACTAAGAGAAGAACTAAGTGGTCGATAGTATTTGTAACATAATTAGTTGTTACAGTAACAACAATGTATGAATTTCCAATTTCATTTTGGATTTAGATATTCTGAATAATGAAAGCTTAATATTTAATTGATTCAAACACAGAAAGACCTAATAGTTGTTATACAGACAAGAAGGGTATCCATGTGGACCCCCAAATTACCTGTTATAGCCGAAAGTAGGAAGAGTCCACTCTCCCTCTCAAAATGCTCTCACATGGCCACGTGTATATAGCCTCTGCCAAGAAAGTCTTATTCACTGCCTTTTCGTGGTATTACTATTGTTTACGAAATTGAGAGGACAAATAGCGAATGTCTGGCGCTTTAACCGAGTTGGTGAATTGCAGTTCCACCTAGGGGAGTTGGAAAACCCTGATTTCAAACCCATGGTGCACATGGGCTTTAGCATCCTGAAGGAAGAATTGGCGTATGAACCGATTGTCGGTCATCGGCTACCATTGGACTGCATCTCCTTACGATGCCCCACTGCCTTGTGGATCAGACCTTTAGGTTGAAGGCTCGGGGTGCGACCCCTTAATAAAACCACCTGCTTTTGTCTGGGCACCCGGGTAGTATCACAGCCCTCACACAAATCGAATGAGGTTTGTGTGGCGCATATGTATTCGGTGCCTCCTTGTACCAATATCTATGAGTCCAAATAAATAATAAATAATATCCATGAGGACAGGAAAATAGATGAAAAACGGTAAAACGTTCAAGGTTTAAGATATAAGGACTGTAGGGTAGCTCATTAATTGAAATCATTTTTCTATAAGCTTTAAGCAGCATTATTTTTTTTGTAGTGAGATTCGAACCTGTGACTGAAAGTCAGATGTTTTGATCCTTATCACAATAAGAGTCAGTAACTTTGATGAATTATTTCATGCCCCGGTCTAATCATCTTCACATTTACCTCTCTCCTGTTAGATCCTATTTCAGTCAATATAGTATTCTGAGACAGAATAGTAAGTTATGATGCATAATTCATGTACAGAACAATTAAAGGATTCAACATTCCATTGAAGAACCATGTGTCTAACCTCGATGTCGTTAAATTAGCTGTCACGCAGTAGATGTTTATATGTCACTATCCATGATTAAATATCTTTAATCTAGGTATATTTCTCAACAGTAAAAGTTCTCTCATGAATATGCTTTTCAGTACAATGAACCTGCAGACAGGTTTGCAGGTGAATATTTTATCAGCATCATAGGTGTTGTGAAAAGAAATCTTCCATATATACATGTGGTGATTATATCAATAACTAATCCTCTTAGAAACGATATAACTTCCCAAATTAGCGAAAAACGGTTTATACTTTCAAATTCATAAAATCTCAACCGAAGTATGGTAGTTTTCAGATCGTGTTATCTATTTCTTGCTCTTATAAAGTCATCGACAATTAGACTGAAACCTGTTGTTAAATTTAAACGTTCAGTGAAGGCTCAGAATCAGTTACAATCGAGCAGATCCATCCCCTTTTTATCCTTCTTTAGATCTTATGCTCTTAATTAACTTTCATGTTTTATTTTGAAAACTCAATTTTTCTTCCCGAATCATACTACCAGTGTCTAATTTTTTCTGCCAATATGATACTGTAACCATTTCTACTATTATTGCTATTGTCTTAATAATTTCATTTTGCTGCGCTCATGAAGTGTGCCAAGTTGAACCAGTTTTCGTATGTGTCAGGTTGCACGTTGCTTGTTAGGCTTAAATATTGGAAAATCGATATCGTTGATATATTTAGATAATTCCCACTACTCTTTTGTAGTGAGTTTGATATTTAGAACACATAATTCTGACTCAATACGCCAGATGTTGGTATCTTATGGTAGAGCTGTGGAAAACTGAACATTTGTAACTGTAAAGTCCCAAACCACTATTATAAAACTCTCCAATAGTCCTTGGTCATTTTGTTTTCTAGTGGTTCACTATTTGACATCAACACTCGACTAAGAAGCTATTTCACATACATAAGAAGCTAGTATTTGTATGTCATCTTGATTATTGTTCTTTTTTGATATTCGTTATTCTAACGACATTCTTCAATCACTTACTTCTTCAAACTATATTGTTGATATCAGGATTGAAGTCAGTAATTGTTTTCACTGATTATTTCATCTGTTTAAGTTTGGATATGGTTGAATGTTTGAAAAATATGTATTCCACTTGACTATCTATCATAGGATGTGCCAATTGTTTAAAATATCTGCATTAAATCATGATTTGTTTGAAACTATTATTTTTCTTGTTTTAATTCAGTCTACTAAGTCTATTTATCATTGCATATCATTTTTTTTAGATCTCCTGGCGCCAAGAATTTTCATCCCTTATTCACTCCAGATTATAACCTTGCCAATAATAATAATAATAATTGTAATATACCTTCGACTTCGGAACAAATTTCTAGAAATCCTTTTGTTCGACTGACTACCAGTTGGACATCTTCAACAATCCAATCACCAGTTATTCATTCTGCACAACCTGATCTTCACTATGATAAGTCAAGTAAATCACATTATCATCATCATCGATCAACTAGTCGTCATCAATTCCTTCATCCACTACCTGGTAGTATTCCTAAAGCGCCTGCAACAGTGAATGATTCCATGTATGTTATTCTAGTTGAATATATTTTTTTAACTCATATAACTTATTTTTATTATTACTATCATCATTATCAGTAGTAGTAGTAGTAATAATAATGATAGTTTTATTATACTGTTTGTTTTTATACGTGGTTATCGATTATGATTCCCTTTTCCTCCTCATTTTGTCAATAAATATCTTTCTCTCAAATTGTTACTTATTTCGTGGTGGTCATTTCATATTCTATACTTTCTGTTCGTAACTTTTCATGCACACTATCAATACATTTTTGTACTTGCATTTAGTACTTAACATTCTCTTTGCATATATATATATATATGCGTGTGTGTTTGTGTGCTTATGTGCATATATGTATGTATAAGATTATTTCATCTTTTCTTGTGTAAATCTCACACATACAAGAATAAATAAATTAGGCAGTTCCAAATATGTACAATAGTGGTATAATTGCATGTACGTGTAGAAAAAGATGTCCAATAAGAAATATCAGGCGTTTTATTCTTTTTGTATAGAAAAGTGGGCGAATAGATAGAGTTATATTTTACACAATATAGATTGATACAAATGGAAAGTTTGTTTGTTTTTTTTTGTTTTTTTTTCTTTAAATAATGATAATACTAATAACCATTTATCATTTCAATGTTTTTCATGTATTCCTAGTTGGGTATGTTTCTTTTCTTGTTGTCATGATGACGATATTATTATTGATATTGCAAGTATTCTATATTATATTGTCTTCTCACGTTCTAAGTTATATCACATCCATATCACGATGTCTTATTTATCAATTATCTATATATATATATAAGCAAATGTAGAATCTAAGTTATAATCTGTTAAAAGAAAGAAGTAAACCAGTGAATGAACATTTATTGACTAGAACAATAATCTATGAATATTTCACGTTCATATATGAAGTCAGTTGTGAACTGAATAGCCCTAATATATACATTTCTAATTAATAACTGGATGATATAAGTTTCAGTTCTATTAATTTCACCAGAATTGATTGTAAACATACATTGCTAATGATTGTTACCAATAAGTCAATTTGAACACAATGTTGTTGTATAGAATAGTTCTGACTGTACTATAGTGACTCATATTTGAAGTTTGTTAAACTAGTGAATAGAATGCCGTTCAATAATGTCCATATTTATTGTTTGATTGTATCAGAATTTATATATTAAGTAAATAAATCAATACAATGTGGAGTTAGTTGCCAACCTCTAATACGATTGAATTGCCGATGGTAAATCTCAACTTAACTAATATCAAAAAAAAAACAAAAAACAAAAACAAAACAACAACACAACTAATCATCTGATATACATATATTTTTCCGCTTAATAACTAATTTTCGAATAAATGTCTAAAATTTCAATAAGGAATAGAATGATTATTATTGATAACATTAGAATCGAATGTTACTTAAGATTATTAATTTATTGAAATTGAAAATGCTACCAATTAAATTCTGATTAACTAAATCAGCAGTCTGGTATTCTTTACAGAATGTAAATTTCATGTGTATATACTGTTTAGATACTAAGACAACATAAATGTTTCAGTGCTTTTTAATATTCAATGTTTACTCCAATTAATGTTAATCTCTTAGGCAAAAACTCATCATCTCTAAATTGAGTTAATCCTTTAGTATCTGTCACCACTCAATATAAAGGAGAGAGAGAGAGAGAAAGAGAAAGAAAGAGATCTCTTGATATTATTCTCTCCCTTCAAAATCAAATTAATCATAAAACATAAATTTATGGTTGTTTGAATGTTGTTTTCATATGAACCATTGAAAAAAACTATAATAAACACAATTAATTTATTAACATGATTTGTGACTACTTGTCAATAGGCATTAATTGTTGTATCTTGAACAGTGAAACTTAGGAAATTCAGGTCTATGGTTTGTTTAACATTCAATACCTTCAAACAACTAAGTTTAAACTTATCAAAATTTATATATTCAAACTGAACTGTTTTATAAAACATATAAATTAATATCTATAGTTATTTAATCATCTAATTTACCTACATAGAAGTATTTGAATAGTAGAATTGTATAACAATTCATGTTATTAATAATAGTGACAAATAATTCTATTCATTAATATTAGTATTATAATTATGTCTAGCCAACTATGTACAATGTCCTACTACTACTACTACTACTAAATATGTTTTTTCAAGATGAAAAAAGCCGCTTAATCTTTTGATCTTTAAATTTATTCAAATATATACACGTACATTCATACATACCGTACACGTAAGAGAGTATTTTATTTCTTTCTCTGTGTAACGGTTAGTTCTTTCTTTTTTTTTTTACTCTTTTATGTATCATCGTAAAGTTTACTTGATTTAGTAAAGTTGGATAAAAAACATACAACACTCGTAATGAGAAAAATTAACACTAGTATATACTACTACTACCACTACTAATAATAACAATAATAATAATAATAATAATAATTATTATTATTATTATTATAACTATAGTGGTAGTAACTGATTATTAGGAAAATTTCACTTATCTACATACATGTGGATTGAGCGAATAATTCTCCTCGATTACTGTTATAATGATAGTAATAATAATAATAATAATAATAATAATAATAATTATTATTATTATTATTATTATTATTATCTATGAATTTTAGTGTCATTTAAGTAACCATCGTATTAAGAAATTGTGAATATGGTGTCTTTGTGTCTCTGAGCAAGTTTATATGTTTGTCTATGTAGTAGGAAGTAAGCGGCTCTATATTATACATAGATAATACTTGTATTCACTGTACATCTACACTAGTGACCAGTATTCTTTGGATCTACATCTTACTGTCTCTGTATATGAGTGTGTGTGTGTGTACGTTCCAATACAACTATTCACTTTATTATTATTATTAGTATTATTATTATTATTATAATAACTACAAAGCGATTTTCCGACATACAAATGTTTCAGTTATTCAAAGTAATTGTTTCAGTAAGAAAGATAGTGACATTATTATGAGAAAAAAAAAGAAGAGATTCTTTACCTTTTTTCTGGCTTTATAATAGAAACAAAAGATAATGATACATATTAAGTCAATATTTTAGTCATAGATACATATAAACAACAAGAGAGAAAAGTGAATGAATGTCATAATATACAAATAAAAAGATCAAAGTTAAATTCATTTATGGTGTATATGTTGTAAATATATATATATATATATATATATATATATATATATATATATATATATATATATATATATATATATATATATATATATATATGAAGGTATAACACGCCTACATATTAAATCGACTAGAATTTATTCTTTATTTCTTTTTAGTTAAAAATTAAAATAAGAAATTCACATAATTATTGACTATAGATTTCTTAAAACTGTTATACAGGGTGGTGGTACACTTAATAGTTAAGACATCTCAGTTTATAACCAAGTCGGTTATAAGTTTAAATCCCGCTAGTATGAAGGATCTACCTAGGAGAGTTGGGAAATCCTAATTTCAAACCAATGGTGCACATGAGGCCCAGATTCTTGAGGAAACAAATGGTGTATGAACCAATTATTGGTCACTAGCTACCATGGGACTACATCTCCACTGCCTTGTGAATCAGACCTTTAGGTCAAAGGCTCAAGGTGTGGTCACCTAAGAAAACCACCTGCTTCGGTTTAGGCACCCGGGGAGTATCATAGCCTACACACAAATCAAGTGACTTGTATGGTGCATATGTATTCGGTACCCCTTTGTACCAATATTTATATGTTCGAATGTTATGTCCAGACATCATATAGTTAATGTCAATAGGAGCCAAATGTATGTGTAGTGACTGTCAGTGTAATTCAGAGAGTTTGTTTCATCTGATCTGGAAATCGCTAACTGGATGTATTTGTATCTCAGTGTTGATATTCAGGCCGAGACTCGAAATCCCAGTACTTTACGCTTCAAATGTCCAATGTGTTGCTCACTGAACTTTCTAAATCCCATTCCTAGCCACTACCCAACTTTGTTAAAATACTTGTCGATATCTGACAGAACATAGGCAATCTTCTCAGGATGTACATATTTTTGAGATGACGGATCAATTTTAGTTTTTAGTACTAACAGGAAGACACAAATATGCGTATGTTTTATAGGATAATTCAGCTAGTTTTTTTATATCATCAACACTAGTCTTTCTGTACAGTACACTGCTTGATGTTGAGTTATAACTCAACATGTTCGTAGATGCAGACTACTTGGTTGGGGTCCACATGACTATCGTAACCAATGGTTGGAGACTCTTGGTGACATGACTCACGGTATTTCACTGGTTGAAATCATGAATCCATTGAAGCTAGACCACCATGGAAAACCTGTAAGCACTGGATGGCCGTTTCGTCCTAGTATGGGACTCCTCAGCAGTACGCATCCACGATCCCGCTCCTCGCGAGATTCGAACCCAGGACCTATCAGTCTCGCGCCAGGTGCCTAACCAACTAGACCACTGAGCCGGCATCCAAGGGTGTTAATGTCTAACTTCAACCAATCCACGAAGTTGCGCCACCGTACACTATTGTCTTCAGTGAGCTGATATCTCACAACAGACCTGGTTGAACTCCACTGGTAACGGTATTTATTCAAGAGGAATATTCTTAACGAAGTCTATTACTTAAAATAAACATATATTACTGATAAAACCGATTACGTAATCATTTGGTTGTCATGTTCGGGTTTAAAAAATACATGATAAATCATGAACATTTATCTCTTGTATTGTTTTTCTTCTAATATACCTTACCAAGTGTAATGTTCTCTGTGCAATTACAAATAAGTCTGTTTAAATCCATATATAAAGGTGTTTTTTTTGTTGTTGTTGTTCTTATTGCCGAATTCGTATTGTTTCATTGCTTTTTTGTTTTCTACAAAACTCTATCGATTTTACTTATTCAGACATATATAATATGCTTCAATACACTACCACTACTACTACTACTACTAGTACTATTACTACTGTTAAAAACAAAAAATAATCATAATTTCTCTGCGTCTTTAATAATTTTTAACAGATGTATTGTTGTTGTTGTTGTTGTTGTTGTTGTTGTTGTTGTTGTTGTTGTCTACCATATGCGTTTATTTCTATGTATATATGAATAGTCACGGAAGTGCATTTCACTGTTTGTTTGAATGTTAGTATATGTATATATACATATACATATATTGCCGATTAATCCTGTCATAACTAACTGATACACTGTCATTTACCAACACAAATTGGTTGCATTGATCACCGCGGTATAAACTTTTTTTTTACATACATGCATACATACTCTATTCGTTTTAGTGTTTTAATGAAATGAAGACAGTTTTGCTCTCTATCTCTCTCTCACTCACTCAATCTAATAGGTCTATTGTTATTACTATTATTATCATTAATATTATTTATATTGTTGAATGTTGTTACAAGCAGAATGAAGATAGTTAAAGCTTGTTTTCTGAAAAAAAAACGGTGATATGTGCATAATTCAATATGAAAATGCACATACACGTACATACACACACACACACACACTTCAACATCAAAAACAAATCTACTTATTTTTGTTTGTCGGTTAAATATACGTCCTTTAACTATGGCGGCAATGGCGGCGACGGTACTTTATGACAAGCCTTATGTATTATATATGTTTATATACATACATATATATATGCACACGTAGAAATGCGCATAAATATCATGAAAAACTTTGCCTCTTTTGTCATCGAATTATATCTACACATAACTGTTTCTATGTATGTATGTTTACTTGTGTTGTTTACCTATTGATTGTTTGTCCACAAAATTTGAGGGTATTTGTGTATATCTTTTTATCGGCTTGTTTGTTTGTCTATCTGTTGTCTGTCTGTATATCTATCTATTTATCTATTCATGTTTTGTTTTGTTTTTTTCTGTATTGTTCATTTTCTATAAATGTTTCTATGTAAATGAATGTGAAATAGTCTTTATAATATTTTGATTATTCCTGCTTTTCATTTGAACATGTACAAATAAAACCCCGGTAATTTACAAAGGAATACATAAATTCTATAGATTTTCTAATCACATAACAATTCCACACACACACACACAGAGGGATTCATAAATTTGACCTAATTTGAAATGAAATAATCTAAAGTGTGCTTGATTAAGAGATAAGTTATATGATTTTGTCGTAGAATTTTCTTTGTTTCGTCGAATTTTTTCTTTTCTTCGGAGGAATCAAAATCGATATTATATCTTAATTGTGAATAATACCATATCTGGAAAAAATTCAAAGGATGGTAGTTGAAGGTAGTTATCAGGAAACTCCTAACATGACACACATGACATTGATCACCATCTAGTGATCAATCAATTGTCGATGAATTTCTCAATCCTTTGAATGGTTATTTACAGATTTCGGAGAAAATCAGTTGATTACAGGTTAAATTAATCTTTCTATAACTAGTATCGGTGAGACTATAATTTATGAATGAACTAATCATGTATAAGATAATAGGTTTCGGATTTTGGCGCGAAATTCTCTCATTCATATGGATAAATAGAGTTTTGGCATTATAACTGATATCAGTTCTTAATGAAAACCCGAAATCTAACTCCTAAGCTTAATCATCAACTGTAATTATAATTCCTCACACAGGTTCATAACCCTCATTTGGTCCTGCTTATTAAGTGGACACTCAAGGTCAGTCCAACGTCACTCAAAGGTCGTCCATAAATTATAATCTCACCCTAGTATCTAGTCCTCACATCATTGAGACCTATACATCAACAGATAAATCAAATTCAGTCAAAAGTATAGAGAAAACGGAGAAATACAAATCCTTACGAATAACACTCATTATGATATATTTCATGTTTAATTTTTCACTTGAATTGGCATCAGTATTTTTCTCATCACTGTCCTAATATGATATGTAGCAACTTGGGTTGAAATATCTTTACACCAGGCCCACCGCCGATTATAAACGATGAATTGAATTCACTAACAAAGTATTTGTACGTTGTATCCGTCATAGATTAGTCTCAGTTACGGTACCATACATAACCAGAGAGCACTGGATAGATGTTTCGTCGTAGTATGGGACTCCTCAACAGTACAGTACACAACTACTCCAACTGAAATGAATCTATGACAAATACAACCAGTCTCCATAAAAATTTTATCTAACCAATTGTTTGTTTAATCCATTTATTTGACTACATCTAATTCTTGATAATTAATATTGTTGTTTAGATTAACTGATAGTCATCTGCAACAAATAGACAATCATGCAAACGATACAACCCGTTCAAAACGACAACATGATGACAACAACAGTTGTGATAATCAATCACAATTCACAAATCAACCGTGTTTTATGAATAATAATAATAATAGTAATAATAATCTACATCCTGGAAACGGATCAAATCAAATATCGACACAAGCACCTATTACATCTTCATCAGTAATAACAATGCAGTCAGTGAATTCAACATCGAATAATGTTGATTTACCATTTATGCATTCAGTCAATTTACGTCAAACACATCAATCAGATAACCTCATAAAAGAGTCTAATACTACTAATAATAATGATAATAATCCTCCCAAAATAAACTGGACAATAAGAAAACAAACAAATTTAGCTGAATCAGATCCAGTTTCATTTGTTCAATTATTAACAGATCGATTAGAGAAAGTAAAAGAATCACGTGGTAAATTAGAAAAATTAATGTCACTTGTTAATCATCAGGTAAGTTGTATTTTACTTTATTTGTTTTATTTTATTTAAACACATAAACATTGGTACAATGAGGCACCAAATAGATATGCGCTACATAAATCATTCGATCTATGTGAGGGCTGTGATACTGCCTGGGTGTCCAAACCAAAGAAGATGGCTTTTTTAGGAGGCCACACCATGAGCCTTTGACCTAAAGGTCTAATCCACCCGGCAGTGGAGCAACGTCAAGAGATGCGATCCCATGATAGCCGGTGACAAATAATTGGTTCATACGCCATTTGTTTCCTCAGGATACTGGAGCCCATGTACACCATTGGTTTGGAGTCAGAGTTTTCCAACTACCCTAGGTAGATTCTCCGTTTCCATCAACCCGGTTAAAGAGCCGGACATTCGGTTTTCGTCCTCTCCATTTCGTACACAACAATTATGTCGCGAGAAGGTAGTGATTAGGATTTCCCTGTCAGTGGTTGTATTGACGTGGCCATGTGACAGCATTTGGAGAGGGAGAGTTGAATCTCCCCACTGTAAGCCGTACCAGGGCATTTGGGGGCAGTTATGTTCAACTATTTTATTTATTTATTTTTGTAAAATTGTTTGTGGTTTTAAATTTTTCATCAATTTCAGTCTCATGTTGAAGTCATTTAAAGTCAGTATAGAACTTGGCATAAAGTTATCATACCACTACATCAATGCAATATGATGAAATTAATAAAGCGAAAAGCAAGAGTTGAAACAATCGTAGTGTGAACTCCTTATATCCACATAAGTAATATATAACAATGGTTTGGAATAGAATGTATTTTAGTAGAAGATCGTAAAGGAAATTACGGGAACGGAACGCAATTGGTATGAAAATGCATAAACAATAAAATCTGAGACAATCGACTGATATTTGCAAATTAACTATTTACTATATGGTTCTCAAATTTTAGTGAGATATTCTGTAATTTTGTGCTCAAATCCATTCAGTTGTCCACACTCCTATTCTTGTTCACTACAATAATAGTAACGATAATGAAAGTTGATAATTAAAAAAATGAATAATGTTATATTTGTAATATTCCAATGAGCAGATATTTAAATGGATAACGTTTCGTGACTTAATTTAAGTTGCTTCTTCAGAATAGACAAATAAATAATCAAATGAAACTAATTTAAGTTTAAATAATATAGAGGAACAAAGCAGAATATTTTCTTGAATCAAAATAGATCTAATTATATTAATGTCATGTGGTCAAAATAGTTCTGTATGAGACATCTTTGTGTATATTTGTGTATATGATGGTGATTATCAAAAATATGCAATTTGTATTATTGAAAGAATTGAGTCGGAATTTAAGTTTATTTATAGATAGAAATCGTGTAAGAGACGAACAAAGCTAAATATGATTGTTTAGATAAATAGTCTAAGTCAGATGAATATATTCAGGCCTTTTTTTTTTCTATTGAGGGTATATAGGTTTAGCACTATATGACACGCTTCATTTTACTAGTCTTTCTTCATAGTTGGAAAAGCTTTTATTGAATTAGTTCGATATTTTAAATATGGATTTGGTGATTATTGATTATAGCATCTACTAATATTATTGATTTATTTTGTAAAATTTTACAATTCCATAGGATTATTAAACCCTTTTGTGTAGCTTAAGTGTTCCTTGGCACGAGTCAAGGTTTCACGAGATTACTCTCTGTCTCTCTCTCTCTCTAATGTAGAACTAATCACAATCAGCACAACTTAACTTAAAAACAAAATTCTATGTTTATGTAACCGATATATTTATCTTAATTCGAATTAAAGCATTTCGAAGAGTTTTGATTGTTTTATGGAAAGCTTTAATTATGCATGTTTTTAAGATGCGTTATATTTCTTTTTTTTTTCGGGGGGAGGGGAGTAAGTTACCAATCCAAGATATTTCATTATAATTGTTATTTAAAAGTATGAATTTAATCTAGTTATTTATTTATCTACTCTAAAGATGTGTTTTACATTAAGTCACGAACCATCAGGAATTCAAATTTCCATTCACTGGAATAACAAGAACACGAGTGGGAACAATCGAATGTATTTGAGCACAAAATTACAGAACATCTCAATAAAATTTGAGAACCATATAGTAAATAGTTAATGTGCAAAATAACAATCCATTGTCTCAAAGTTGATTGTTCTTTTTGCTAATATCAGTCAATCGTCTCAGATTTCATTATTCATGCATTTTCATACCAATTATGCTCCATTTCCGTTCTTTTCTTATCGATCTTCTACTGAAATACATTCTATATCTAACCACCGTTATATACTACTTATATGAATATAAGTAGCCCACTCCACATTACTATTATTGAGTATATGTTTCGAAAAAAGAATAGAAAGTTATGTTCGAAGGAATATGGGATCTAAAATGTAGAGTAAGATAGAAAGTGAACTGTTCTAAACTTAGTCCTCAATCTTACTGTCCAACCTAAAATATAAAGAGAGTGATTGTCTAACATGGAAACCCTCAAAATCGATTAAAGAATGAACGCAAATAAACCACTTCATCATCAGTCATCATACGAAAAGCTCAGTAGAAGACTCGTTCGTTCTGGCGCATACATTTAGACTTGGATTATGCTTTAGTGGGAGTACGTGTTTACATGTTTCTTGCCCAACGCAAAAGAACCACAACGGGAAAGATCCTTTCAAAGTCCAACGCAATAATGAAAAAGTCAAGCGTCTATTTCAGGAACAGCTAGAGATACACTTAGTCAATCATTCAAGAATCATTCAACTTTATATAACTTGATATGATAGACAACTTTAATATAAGACTACATAAACACTATTTTACACCATAAATTGGACGTCAAAGTTATAGCCTAGCCATCCTTAAGAACATCAAACATATTGGTTACATCATATCCTCTTAACCAAATAGTTTGATTGTAAAGTTTTTTTCATTGTTATTTTTAGTATCATCAGTGTTTACTTCAAGTAGTTTTTTCTTTTATAGAAAAAATCATTATTCTTTTAATCAATTCTTATTAATCACCTTTATAGGTTCCGTTAACTTCATGTGTATTTGCATATACATGTGAATTGTGATTTGATTCAATTAACATCTAGTTATTATATGACTACTTAAATTAACTTGAAACAATGTTGTTTTTATTTATATATTTTTTATTATTATTATATTTTAACCCTGAACAGGTTGATGAAAAATATCCGACAGAATCTAAAAGTACTCTACCAATAGAACACACTGATTCATATGGATTTATTTCTATTAATCAACATAATAATCCATCATTTCATTTAGATCATTTAAATTGGACACAATTAAAATCGAATTCATTTATAAATACTACTAATAGTATAATGAATGAAATAAATTCATCAACTATTCAACAATATACATTAAATTATCCTCATAATACTGGATCTGAATTATTGAATAGTATCAATAAATCACAAAATGCTCAAGAAATATTAGATGATCATTGTTCACGAATTTGGGCAGATGAATCTGATGGAAATATGGATACACAATTATTATTATCATATTCAAAAAGACAACAAAATGATTATATGCATACACCAATATCTAATCAATCTTTATTAATGACATCATATCCTTCAATGTTATGTAATGATACACTTGTAAATTCAATGAAACATAATAAAACTGATATTGTATGTAGTGAATCTAATGTTACAGAGTATGAATTGAAAAAATTAACAGAACAAAGTAAACTTGCTACAGTAGTTGTTTCATCTACAGATTCTTCTTGTGTATCTTCAAATAATAATAATAATAATAATAATAATAATAGGACAGAAATATCGGATAATTCTTATCGGAGACGACATATTACTGCTTCTGGTGGTAATGTGATTTATCGAAGTTTCAGTCGACCCAATAAAGCTGATCTACGGTCTATCGCTTCATGGGATAGTGGTGTTGTAAGTAATTATTATGAAAAGAAGCATCGATTACATCATCACCATGATGATTTAGATATTATGGATGATACAGTTGACACTGCATCAATTTTAGAAGCGGCTAGTTTACAAGCTTTATCATCATCCACTACAGAATTAGCTCTTGTAAATGGTGAAGTAACTGCCAAACTAGTTGAGAAAATTATACGTCATTATCCACGTGGAATATTCGATGGTAACGATAATTATGTTAGAAAGAATCATACAAATACAAGCGAACAGTCATATTTCAAATCAAGTCAATTCAAAGAAACCTCAAATTTGAATCATGCATATCCGTTTAGCAGTAGTAGGTTGAGAAGAAGAAGTAAACAATGTGAATCTTTTTACGAATCACCGTCATCATCATTATCTTACCCAATTCCTGGTGTTAATTTGAATTCTACATGCTCTGCTAACAATACTACCACCGCTACTACTGGTACCTGTCAACAACATCCTGGTATAATGATTCCATGTGAATGTCATCGTTGTATCCATTGTACACATTCACCATCAGCATTAAATGATCATTTATCAGCAAACTATTGTAATTGTAATTATATTCATCAATTAAATGATAAACCTAAACATTCTACTACTTGTCATAGTCAACAATTACCCATTATTACTGCTTCAGATACATCGAGTACTTTTGACTCAGGAATATCATCTGCATATGATCAACTACCTTTAAGAAAACAAGTAAACAACAATCGAGAAAATCGAAGCCAGTATGTGTTTATTATTTTTTTCACATGATTACTAGTATCATATTGAGTATTTGGGGGGGGGAGGGGACCTTCAAGTAAAAACATTCATACTTTTTTGTTGTGTGATATTAAAGTTATCTACCGAGTATTATATTTTATGAAGCAGTAGTAGTCTACTATAGTGACCTTCCTATTTGTTTATAGCTATCCTTGTCGTTATTAAGGTATCTTGTGCCATTTATGTAGTTCTCATTAAAGTTAATTTCATAAAATATCGTTGATTATTCAAGTAATAATTCTCATGTGATCTAAATATAGACCAGAAAACCTTACTGTTTACACCTAATGGTGACATTATATAGTTTTTTATATCATGATGATGTCAGCAAAGATTGCCAGATAGTTTCTGTTAAACTAGCGCGATTGTCAGACGTATCTGTCATTGATAAATCTAACAAAACTACGTTAACTGGAACGCTGTGATGTGGTTGGATCGCTCGGTAAAGTCAAAAGCGGAAAAGTTCGCAAAAGAAGTCGTACTGTCGACTTTGATAGCTTAATTATGGATAACCAGTAATTCAAATGATCGTGCCTTTCCAAAGATGAAAGAAAGGTTTATGAAAGTGGTCGACCTTAAAATAGCACACATCAATTTGTCCCACTGATTTCTTGTGCTGATGATATGTTTCTGTAGGTTGTGAAACTATAATCATCAATGTTCAATTTAGATTTCTCTAGGGGAGAAGTCCTACAATACTGATAATCAGAATATGTCGATCCCACACCACACTGTAGAGATGGTAAAACAAGGGGCGATATGTTTTCAACTTGATGATGAGATTTGGTATTCTGAATTCTGATGCAATAGTATTCTTGGTGCCAGCTTGGTGCACATTTGTGTAATTGACCTCGAGCCACTTTTTCTAAAATGAAAGCTAATGATGAGGATTTTGTTCAGGTGAGCCAACTTGAAGTAGGGTGAAGTAGTAGGATTTCAATCTGATATCCGATTATTGTGAATATGGAGTTCGGTCAGTCAGTTATCTTCAACGTAGGACCAGGCATATATATGCGTCGGTCCAAGTTGCCATACCTCAGTGGTAGTAATACTATGTAAATAAAGATTGCATATAAGGATATGATACAGAGAGAAAAAATTAGTTCGTATAAAGGAAAGCATTAAGTAATTTTAATCTCACGGTTTAAGCGAATGCAGAGAGCGTATACACCTATTCCACTGTGGTCAATTCTGAGCTATGTCACCCACAGTCTGCAACTGTCGGTTACGATAGTCGCTCAGACCCCAATCAAGTAGTCTGCATCTACCAATATGACTGAGACCAGATGTTAGTGATTTTATGGACTGATATCGAGTTCTTTAACAATTAATCTTCAGCTTCTGGACAAATTAATGTAGTGATTGCGTGACATCATTATCATTTGTTTCAATTTCAACTTACAGATAATGTTATGGTCACTTTGAAGTACAGTTACATTTGTCTAAAATATAGTAAAACAAACTTTTGGTATATCAATCTTAGATGTTCGGAGAAAATCACTGTGAAGCTTTCAATCTTGATTTCAATCTAGTTGGTACATGTCAGTCAAAAATATCTAGAATTTTGGAGAGACTGTTGCTCTCCACAGGATTTAAAATCAAACCACTGTCTCACAGTCAGAGTCGTTATTATTGAACTATTTTGAAGCAATCTGATTATTTGTTATGAAATAAAATCCCTGAATAATTGTATTTAGTTTAGTCGAAATTTATATTTTGTGAACTTCAGCTCAGTTATTATTAATATTATTATTATTATAGGAGCCTTCATAGTTGGCAAACAAATCCTAATTTCAAGGATAAACATCTTTCCACTCCACGAGGAAACCGTACACATTCTGCGTCAAAATCCATGTATGAGAATAATGATAATAACAATAATAATAATAATGGTGTTACTACTACTTATACACGTGAATGCCCTCTATCAAACTGCCTCATTTCATCGTGTTATGAATTCGATTCGAAACAGACAACACCTGGACAACAGTTTGGTCAACATACTATGAATGATTTACATTTATGTGATTCATGTTCTTCAGTACATCATCATTATCATAACATTCGTCATCATTATCGTCATTCTCATCTTCTTCACCATCATTCTCACTGTCCAGAATTGATGATCAATGATTTAACTTATAAATATGGTAAGTTATGAGATTTTGATTGCTATATGAATGTCCGTTTTTGTTCTTTGAATAATTCCACCCCTAACTATTTAATAGCAATCCTAACTAACCTCAATACAATCGTCCAACTGAATAGATATTTGAAAATGTGAATTGTGTGTGTGTGAGAATCCGGAACAAACCCAAGATTCTTTGACTAAGAAGTGATTGTCAACGGTTCCATCCTAGTTTATACCCCCTGATCGATGGGAATCAAAAGTCCGAAAAGATTCGAGCCTGAAATCTTTTTACTTCGTAGGCAACGCAGTATATCATCGTTCCCAAGTTCAATGTATTCGCGATCCAACTGAGGGGTCGTTTAGATCCTTTCAGTTATATTTGTCCTTCTTCTAACATCCTTACACTCCACAGGTTAAAACTTTTGGTTAGAATTTCAGGAATTGTATCTCTAAGCTAGTCAGTAGAACAACTATTGAGTGAGTGGCTACATGGTTCATGTTCCCAACTTCGGTTACTTCGCAACACAATTCGGCGTTGTTGGAATGTAGTCAAGCAGTAAAATTCTAGACGACCTAATGTTTCGCCCCACTTAGGACATGGTATCTGTGTGTGCTTATAACCCACTGTTGCCGATGTTTACATTGACACTTGAACCCATTACTTCCAGTATCAATATATTATGCTTTAAGGAAATGAGTTCAAATATATATTGGTTTTTCCTCATAGCGTATAATATTATTCTCATGGGTTTTTTTAATTACCTCTCTTGTCAGTATTCACGACTCTGTCCTGAATTTCATTTCTATCTAAATATATGGAAAAATTTATAACTAACAATCAAAATTTAATAGTTGAGATCATGAGTCAATTGAAGCTAGACCACCATAGGAAATCTGGAAGCACTGGACGGCCGTTTCGGCGCGAGACTGATAGGTCCTGGGTTTGAATCTCGCGAGGCTAGATCGTAGATACACAATGATGAGCAGTCCCACAATAGGACAAAACGACTGTCCAGTGCTTCCAGGTTTTCTATGTTGGTCTAGTTTCAATTGACTTATGATCTCAAGTATTAAAATTACTATAATATCCACAAAAACTTCTTTCGATATTAACAATTAAATGTAATATCAATGTTCTTCCTTATTTACACACAACAAGTACACATTATCAATCATATGTATTGTATACCTGTTGAAGATAATGGAAGTTATTATTGTTATATAGAGGTTACCTTTTATTTGATTCATTTATTTATACAGGATTAAATGATAGTAATAGTATAAATAAAATATAATCATAGTAATCAGTAGTTGTTATTGTATAGTAGTAAGATTAATTTTCTTCTATTTTAACTTGTCGTTACTTCGTTGTTGCTGTTGTTGTTGTTGTCGTCTCTCTTTGAAACAATTTTCCCCCTTTTTTTGTTGTTGTCGTTGTTGGTATATTGATATGCATAAATTATTTCAAAGGAAGCCGCAAACTATTTGTGATTTTCTTTTCTCCTCTTTTTTCTTTCTTTCTTTTTTCCATTCATATTTGCGTTTATATTATGAATAATGTAGTCTCTTTGAAGTATAGAGTAAAATGCTTTTATAACTAAACTGTGCTTTTTCTCTCTTTTCTTTATGTTCATCTAAGTGAATATTTAATAGTTTATCTTGTTTATCTCTTGATTATTTACTTTTGTCCAAAATAAAACACTTTTTTTTTACCGTCTATTTACTTTGATGTTTTATTTGTTTATTTGTTGACGGGAATACCGGTGTGTCTATTTATTCTCTATGACTACAAACATACACACACATACGTACGTACATACATAAATACATACAATTCTCCCTCTATTTTCTTTATCCCTGTGTACTTTTCATGTATCGTCGACTTATAGAAGATATACGTCTACATTTATACTAAATTACAAGCTTATATTATTAATTATGTCGGTAATTTCTTTGATCATTTCAATAATAATCATAATAGAGTTCTATTTGCTTTATGTTTCTATGTGTATGTGTGTTAGTGTGTTAGCAATTAACGACTAATGAAATCCATTTCGGTTTCAATGTACTTTTTCTCTTATATATATAGACTAGCATTGTTGTTTTTATGATACTCACCGCCACTGATTCGCCCTACCTCTCTCATACATTCGCGTATATATATAATGAATGAATGAAACAATGTTTTTTTTTTTAGTTTTTAATTCGTTTATTTTTTACTATTTTCTCTTTCTTCTTCTTTTTATTCTTCTCTATTTGTTCTTCAAAATTTCACATTTTTGTTTTTAGTACAGAAAGTAGAATAATGAAGGGAGAATAGTGAATACTTAAACACCTCTTAGATGTAATGATTATTTTTAATGTTAACAGTTAATAAAGTTGGGAGATGTAAAGAATAGAGATTAGTGAATGGGAAACATTGAAGCAAATAATCGAACTATATATATATATATATATATATATATATATATATATATATCTGTGTGATTATTATAGATAATCAACTTTAGAAAAACTCTTTGATGTGTTGTTTCTTTTAACCTTTTTACATAAGATAAATTAAGTTTTTTATTATTTATTATTATTGTTTTAATTATTGTCAGTAGTATATGTTGTATGTACGTACGTACTTACGTACGAAGTTCTACGTTGTTACTGACTGACTGACTGACTGATGTTATGTGTATTATGCATTATAGATAGAATAGAATACAGGGATTATAATTGTTCTCTCTGTGTTAGGGAGAAACTCCTATCATTTTCATATTGTGAATATGAATACTAATTACAAAACATTAAATAATATGTAGTTCAATGAAGAGATCTCTTTCTGAATGGATTCATTTACAAAACTAAAAGGGTATACAATCATAAATACATACTTCTCCTTAGTCTATAATAATAATAATAATTATTGGTGGTAGGTTTGCGGATGATGATTAAATCCTGAATACTATCAATTTTATTAAGAACATTTATAGATTGTATTTGTTAATGATTGATATGAGCTAGAATACTATTGACAACCAAGGAGCAACAGATAACTGTTGCATCCATTTTCATAGTATAAATTGACTTTCAAACATTATATCTAGTTCATAATCATCACATTTCCGATCTACTCTCATCTTTATTATTACAATACATCAAGCTGCACTATTCTTATAATTGATCTACCTCATTTTTATTTATTATTTATTTTAACACATATGTATTGGTACAAGGAGGCACCAAATACATATGCGCCACACGAATCTCAATTGATTTGTGTGACGGCTGTGATACTGCCCGGGTGCCCAAACCGAAGCAGGTGGTTTTCTTAGGGGGCCACACCCCGAGCCTTTGACCTGAACGTCTGATCCACAAGGCAGTGGAGCATCGTAAGGAGATGAAGTTCCATGGTAGCCGGTGACCAACGATTGGTTCATACGCCATTTTTTCCTTCAGGATACTGGAGCCAGCACATGTCCACGATTGGTTTTGGATCCGGTTAAAGCGCCGGACATTCGCTTTTCGTCCTCTCATTTTCGTAAACAACAGTAATGCCACGAGAAGGCAGTGAGTAGGACTTCCCTGGCAGAGGCTATATACGCGTGGCCATGTGAGAGCATTTGGAGAGGGAGAGCGGACTCTCTCCACTCTCGGCCGTACCAGCGCATTTGGGGGCCTTATTTACATTAGAATTTATCCTTGATATTCTTAATAATATCACAGGTTATCAGATCAAGCAATTAATTTGATAAGGTACTCTTAGTAGTGGTTAATATTATTCTGTTCTCAAACTCTAGGTAACTTGTTGAAGTCATATATATTTACTAATTTTGATTTGCATTATTGACTACAGTAATCTATTTACTTGTTTCATAATGAGTTACATTATAATGAGAAATACTTTCATGAAATATCTATTCATATTATCATTAACATCATTGATCAATTGCCCATATTTCCATATTTGTCTGTTTTATTTTCTGTTACTGATATATGATTGTCTCATTTATATATTAATACACTATATACACTAAATTGTGATAGTTTTTTTATTATTATTTGTATACATGTAGGTTGTTTCATGTGTGTTCAAGTACCTGTGTGCATGTCCACTTATCTTATAGTGAAAATAATCAAAATATTAACATAGTTGTTGCGTAATGGAAAATGCATTTAAAAAAGAAAAGAAATACCTATATATATATACTATCTTATTGAATAGAATAATAATAATAATAATAACAAACCACTACCTCTGGTACGGCCGAGAGTGGGGAGAGAACTCTCTCCCTCTCGAAATGCTCTCGCATGGCCACGCGTACATAGCCCCTGCCAGGGAAGTCCTACTCACTGCCTTCACGTGGCGGGGGTGTTGTTTACAAAAATGAGAGGACGAAAAGCGAATGTCCGGCGCTTTAACTGGATCCCAAACCAATTGTGCACATGGGCTGGCTCCAGTATCCTGAAGGAACAAATGGCGTATGAACCAATCGTTGGTCACCGGCTACCATGGGACTGCATCTCCTCACGATGCTCCACTGCCTTGTGGATCAGACATTCAGGTCAAAGGCTCGGGGTGTGGCCCCCTAAGAAAACCACCTGCTTCGGTTTGGGCACCCGAGCAGTATCACAGCCGTCACACAAATCAATTGAGATTTGTGTGGTGCATATGTATTTGGTGCCTCCTTGTACCAATACCTATGTGTTAAAATAAATAAATAAATAAATAGAGTCCAAACGTGTACTACTAAATTTTCAAAAAAAAGTTAATAAAATAACGATTATTTATTATTTATTTAAACACATAAACATTGGTATAAGGGAAGGGGGAGCATCATATAGATATGCGCCACATAAATCATCTGATTTATGTGAGGGCTGAGATACTGCCTGGGTGCCTAAACCGAAATAGGTGGTTTACTCAGGAGGTCACACCCGAAGCCTTCGACATACAGGTCCAATCCACATGGCGGAGTGGAGAAATGTCAAGAGATGGAGTCTCATGGTAGCCGGTGACCAACGATAGGTTCATACACCTTTTGTTTCCTCAGGATACTGGAGCCCATGTGCACCAATGGTTTGGAATGAGAGTTTTCCAACTCCCTCAGGTGGACTCTCCGTGTCCATCAACCCGGTTAGAGCTCCAGACATTCGCTTTTCTTCCTCTCACTTTTGTAAACAACAGTAATGCTGCGAGAAAGCAGTGATTAAAACTTCCTTGGTCGTGGTTGTATGCACGTGGCCATGTGAGTGCATTTCGAGAGAGAGAGAGAGAGAGAGAGAGCGCTGACTCCCGTCATTCTCGGCAGTACCAGGACATTTGGGAGATATTCATTATCTCTCTTACACATTGACTGACTGACATCTAATTATCATTGCCTTAAACATCAAGTTCATGTATATTAATTTTCTTCAAATCTACCATGTTGTACTCTTGTTCATTTGTTATTTAATTGGATAGATTACTATTGACTGAATTGTTTTTTTTGGTGTGTGTGTGTGTGTCATGAATATAAATAATATTTATTATTTATTCTCCATATATAAGAGAATAAAAAACAACAACTCTTAATTAACTATTAAAACAATTATACAATGTGAAAGTATGATTTCTTTTTGGCGCCAAATATACGTGCATATATATATATATATGTAGTGTGTGTGTGCGTCCTATGCACTAAATACGGATATAACTATTGTGAATAGACAAATGATGTGGAAGTGATCAGAATCATTATTCATGTTGAATATAGACACCTTGATAGATTAGTATAAAAGTATATACATTACAATGTAGTAGTAGTAGTAGGGGATTACTAGTTACATTTTATTGAACATATTTGATTAATGTTTTGAACATTAAAAATTCAAGCAAAGTAATCTTGTTAGTTTGTTTCTATGTGATTATTATATCCATATACATGAAGTGAGAAATAAGAATAGCTTAGAGGAAAAAGAGTGAAGTGTTTATTTGGAATTGATTTTTAATCACTGGAAGTTGAGGAATATAGTGTATTAGATAAAAGATGACAAATCGATTGATAAGGCTATTAATCTTTACCTACTGAAATTAGTTGGGATATGCATTACGTATACCTAACCAAAGTCTACTTTGATATCTCCAGTACTTGTTGAAGCAGGACTAGGTTGTAAGAAAAAGAAGATGGCTAAATCAAAACATGTTTTTAGTTTGAGCCACATACAAACTACCTGGTTGAGGTCCGCTCAATAACCATGACTAGCGGTTAGAGACGTTAGGTGATGTGGGTCAAGATCAGTTTGAATAAGGCGGATATATTCATCATTTATCTTCTTCTGGATCTTGAATTTCAATACTCGCATAGATACGTTTTCACTCCGGACTCTTGAACCATATTTTCAACATTTAGTTTTTTTTTAAAATTCTGATTGCTACTGTAATTATTTCGACTTCTGTGCTGGTCACCTTATTAATTTCGTGTTGCCGTACTAATGTGGCATGACACTTTTGGTCAATACACACACACACACATGTACCAGGCTTTAAATTGATTATGACTGATAGCCATCCACGACTTGGGTTCGATCTTCTTTACATCTTATTCAACTTGGATAGGTGCGTAATAATACTAACCTCTACTCATTAAAAAACTCAGATTTATATTTTTTAAAAAGAACGCACAGAAGTCCTCAGTTGATTACGTCTTGATCTACACTTCCAGATTAGGTCTTAAAAAAGATTCGAAATTTATTTTTTCAATCTTTTTGATTGTGATTATAATTTCTGTCATATGTATATTTATTTTAATAGATGTGAATAATGATTGTAAAAAGCCAACAAGTGGTAAATTACTTCAACACTGGCTACAATTACAACAAAATTCATCAGAAACTTTACGTACACCACTTCGACCTACTACTACTAATACTACTCAAGATGATGACGATGATGAGCAAAAAATAAAATCTTTATCTTCAGATAATGCTGTGTTATTGTCCTATGATAATTCACAAGCACAAATGAGCAAAAATGGTAAAGAACCATCATCATCTTCACATGGACGAAAATCACATCATCATCACCATCATCATCATAGTCATCGGAGATCTAGCGCACATCGTACTGGTAATAATAATGTCAATATTACTGCTAATAGTAGTACTAATAATAAGAATCCTAAACATTCAATGAATTTTGACAATAGTTTAGAGTCGAACAACAATATTCAGCTGAATTTTGACGAAAACAATGATGATCATGATGAAAATAATACAAGGTTAGTTGATTCTCTACTGCATTTTATTCGTTGGTAAATAGTAATATTATGGCTTGTTTATCAATTAATGGTATAAGATATTCGAATTTCAGCCACTGAAGCAGGCAGTGAAGGGTCCTAACTACCTTTCCACGATCATAGTTTTATATTATCATTATTGCTGTCTCGTCACAAGTGTTTAAGACTATAAACGAAAGTACGTTAATTAAGAAATAGAGGACTGTCTTATCAGTACTTGTTAAGTGTGGTTTAGTAAAGAACATGTGTTACTCTGCGGTATACGCGCCTCAGTTCAATTTGCCGTACTACATTAGCACAACACGATAGAATTATTTCAAGACAAATACCAGAGTAGTAGGAGTAGCGATTAGTTGACTTTTGTCAGTAATGTGTCTACACTCTCGAGAAAAATATTGTTCTTTGTATGATTTTAACATGTGGTTGCTGACTGACCTCGTGATACATATAATTTAACACGATAAATTAACACGACAAATTACATAATCAGGGTATTAATTATTACAGTAAGTATCTCAGTTCTACTACTTAAGATCAATTGCCACTCCGAAGAAGTTCAATGGTAACATCTCTTAATGTATACCGTAGATTTAAATCTCACGGGAAGAAGAACTGTAGATATATCTTGATGTGACAGATACCAACTAATTTGAAACACTGAATCAAGCCAAGGTTTCAAATGCTTAAAACTGAAGTTATAAATAGAACATCTCAAAAACTTATCCAACTCATGATTACAAAAAAAAATCATAGTAACAATCATGATGATAATAATAATAGTCAGTTTTCAATTTATCAAACAACATATAGATACATTCAATAAAATCATATGTTTGATACATTGTATTTATTCATTCTTCAATTAACAATACTCTGAAGAAGTAGTTTAAATTGAGTCATAAAACAGCGATCATTTTTTTATATATCACTACCACCATTGAATTAACTATTTCTATGAATCCGATGTTTATCTTGCTGTGCTAATGAGGTATGGCAACTTGGACTGATCCCACATGGTAGCTGACTGACGGAGTGACTGACATGAAACATCAGAAAATTTAATTTTTCTATTCATTCAGACATTATTATTATTATTTGACATGATTTCAGTGCATCGGATTAAAATTGTTGTTAATCAATTACCCTCTACCATCTCCAATTTCTATTAAAAATTATTTAGTACAAATGTTTTTTTTGAAAAACTTTAATATTCTACCTTGGTGCCCAAACCGTAGTAGGTAGTTTTCTTAGGGGACCACATCTGGAACCTTTGACCTAAAGGTCTAATCCACAAGGCGGAGTGGGGCAACGTCAGAAGATGCAGTCCCATGGTATCCAATGGTCAAAAATAGATTTATATATTCGCTTTTCGTCCTCTAAATTTCGTAAACAACAGTAATGTCGCGAGAAAGCAGTGATTAGGACTTCTGTGTCATTGGTTGTATTGACGTGGCCATTTGAGTGTATTTGGAGAGGAATAGTTGACTCTCCCCATTCTCAGCAGTACCAGGGCATTTAGGTATGTGTGGATTAGCTTATATCATATCGGTATGATGAAATCAACTAAGAAAGAATAGAAATAATCTAAAAACAATTATGAGAAAAATAAAACATTGACAATAGAATTTGAGAGGACAGAATGCATCTACGTCATTTTGACCTATTCGAAGCCGTTTTACTCAACATCTTCAACTACCATGGAGAATATCTACTTCATCAGTTCTTAATCAACAAACTATTAGTTGCATTAGTGAAAATTTTTGAGGTTAATTAATTGATAATAAATAGTTTTTTTTTTTAATTTTTGAACGGAATCAAGCGTTTTAATCATCAAAATTTAAGGTTTAAAGAATTATTTTTGTAAAAACTTTCACGTTCCAAATGCTTTCATATGGCCACGTGCATACAACCACGACCAAGGAAGTTTTAATCACTGCTTTCTCGCGGCATTACTGTTATTTATGAAATTGAGAGGAAGAAAAGCGAATGTCTGGAGCTCTAACCGGGTTGATGGACACGGAGAGTCCACCTGAGAGAGTTGGAAAACTCTCATTCCAAACCATTGGTGCACATGGGCTCCAGTATCCTGAGGAAACAAAAGGTGTATGAACCTATCGTTGGTCACCGGCTACCATGGTAATGCATGTTCTGACGTTGCTCCACTCCGCCTTGTGGATTAGACCTTTAAGTCAAAGGCTCGTGGTGTGGCCTCCTAACAAAACCACCTGCTTCCCTCTAGGCACCCAGACAGTATCTCAGTTTTTACTAAATCAGATGATTTATGTGGCGCATATCTATTTGATGCTCCCCCTTCCCTTATACCAATGTTTATGTGTTTAAATAAATAATAGATAATCGTTATTTTATTAACTTTTTTTTTGAAAATTTATTAGTACACGTTTGGACTCTAAATTATCTTCATCATCATCTGGGATGATGCAACAGAGTTGCCATACTACTTCCACAACTGGTTCATCAGGTCCTGGATTAGTTGTCGGTTATTATCTGTGCGATGATCCTGTTCCTTATCGAACTGTTTGGACTGGTGGTTCACATAATCCTCCTCCATCTTCTTCCATTTCTTCCTCTGGTCTATTTGTTGAAGTTAATGATCAGTCAGAAATTGTGGACAATTTTCAAACTAAACTGAGTAATCAATCTTTGTTAACATTGGGACAATTTAAACAATTGATTGCTAAAAAAGGTGTTTATCGGTAAGTTTTTATGATGGTCACTTTTTTCTGTGCTTGATATTTTGTAAGCTCACTGAATCTTTTCTTTTTAAATGACCCTGTTTCTAAGATGTATACATGAAGGATGGAAATGTCAGATTGTATTCACCTATAAACGTAGTGGTGACTTCAATTCTAAGAAAAAAAGCATGATGAGATTTAAGCCATGTAATTTTGTTTTCCTCACCATAAAAGTGGGTCTGGGTATATAGATTTGATCAGAAAGTGTTTGTTACAAAGGATTATGCACTGTTGGTGGTTTATCATTAGTTTCTATGGAATTAAGAATGTAAACGTTATTTTTTCTTTTGTAGAAATATGGTGCTTAAGTTAAATACATGGACTAATTATAGCTCTTGACCTTTTAGAATACTTGACAAAGAGGGATATGAAATATTTGAATTTTTAAGCGCTACACATTAAATTGTAATGTGACATGAATTGAAGTGTTTTATTATTATTATCATAATTATTATGGTCTATCTTACTCTGAATCATAGTTTTTCTCATTTACAGTTTACAATAGATAGTTGGATGCTTGATTTATAAGCAGTTGACACATGCACGATCCCGCCTCACGAGATTCGAACCCAGAACTCGCTTGCGTGCGGTTAACCATTAGACAATATATATGTCTCAACCTTAGTTAAGTCAGAAAGAGTGGCTCTTAGATTTCATGTCAAACTGCGGTTGCGCAATGCTGAGGATTCCCACAATAGGACGAAACGGCCATCTAGTGCTTCCAGGTTTTCAGTGATGGTCTAACATCAATCGACTCATGATCTCTACCAAAAACCTAATAATCTCCACAACCGTATACTGATAATTTTTGATTTTTATCTATCAAAGAGAATAACTTTATTATTGAAATTTATGTCGACGGAAAGGGATAGTTAACTGTGAATCATAAAGAAGGTCAACTTGAATTCGCCTATTCCCCACCAACAGTATTTTAGAATATACTTGCTTTTCAAAGTCTTGAATGCTTCATGTTGATCGTTTCAGTCATTCGGTCACGAGAAACGTAGAACATGTCACATATATGTAATCAGTTTAACCTCTCATTGTCAAAACAAATCTTAGTGTAGTAACGAATATTGGTGGTAATAGGAAGATTAGAAATAAGTAATATCATTCTAAAAGAAAAAAAATTATTTCACGGAATAAAAATATAAAATAATTTTTGATACTCAAGTTTTAAGGGATAATACAATTTAACAAAATGATTATAGTTATCACATAGACCAATTCAGGCTACTCCTACCTTTCTTCTAGTCTATTCTTACACGAGCAAAGATTGTACTTCGAAGTAGTCACTAGGTTGAAAAATACAATATATACATCAGAAGGGGTTTTTGTGGATATTGTAGTAATTTTAACAGGTGAGATCATGAGTCAATTGAAGCTAGACAAATATGGACAACCTGGATGCACTGGATAATTATTTCGTCCTACTGTGGGACTCCCCAGTGACAATGCGCATCCACGATCCCGCCTCACGAGGTTCGAATCCAGGAGTTATCAATCTCGCGTGCGAGCGCTTAACCACTAAACCACTAGACAATATATATGTCTCAATTATAGTTAAGTTCGAAAGAGTGGCTGTTAGCTTTCATCTCACATTCTAAACAATACATATTGCATTGTTCGGACTAGACTTTTTTTTAGTTTTTATCCTTTATTATTGAAAAAAATAACACCTCTAGTTGTTTTTCTTCTTACACTATTTTCTCTCTTTTCATCTTTATCCCCAAATCGATTTTTTTGGTATCTGGTCTAGTCATATAACAATTAATCCATATTTAAACTACACACACTGTACTATACCGAATGTATATTTCTAATCTGTAATGTAATTTATTTTGTTACAAGAGTGAGAGAAAGAGAGTGTGTGTGTGTGTGTGAGGGAGAGAGAGCGCGTATATGTGTGTCGAAGAGTAGAAATAACCTAATGATCATTATGTATATATATATAAATACATCAACAGCTGACTACTACTAACCTTACAGTGTGTAAAAATGCTCTTTACTTGTTAGTTAACCAATAACTGGACAAATATAAACCTCAATAAACATTAAATATGAACAACAAAACTTATTCTATTTCATGTCAATTTTCCTGCACACAATAATAAAAATGATTGTAAATTATAAACCCTGACCCCTTTTTGGATGCATATATATATATATATATATATATATATATATCAGAAGAGGTTTCATCCTACTGTAGGACTCCTCAGTGGCAGTGCGCATCCACGATACTGCCCCCCCCCCGCGAGATTCGAACCCAAGACTTATCGATCTCGCGCTCGAAAGCATAACCTCTAGACCACTGAGCCTACCAATATCCAACGATGTCAATGATGTCTAACTTCAACTAATCCATATATATATATGTATTATACTCTTTTAATTTCTTTATTTTTTTTCTAGTTATTGTTGTTTTAATTTATTGTCACCTTTTGTTTTATCATTTTTATTCTGTGTTTCTTGTTGTTGTTGTTTTTTGTTTTTGTTTACTTTTTCTTCTTTATATTTTCATAGATATTTTTTCAAAAAACCCAATGATGAATTCGGTACTGGTGTAGTTCATGAAGAATTAACAAATGATAATGCTATTCTACCATTATGGGAAGGTAAAGTTGTAGCACGTGTAGAACGTGCTGATTAATAATTTCGACAGTTTAATATTATCTTCCTTTTTCAATTATACTTTCTTTTAATTTTATAATGATTAATCTATGTATTTGTTTATTTCTTTTATGTGCTCCACTACTACTATCACTACTACTACTACTACTACTACTACTACTGCTACTAGTACTAATACTAATACTAATACTATTACTATTGCAACTACCTCATATATCTTATCCCTATTGATTATTGTTCCTACCATATATACACTTCTTTATTTTGTGTATACATACATTCATGCATATCTACCTGCTTATTTACTTGTATGTATGTCTATTGATATGATGATTATATAACTATCTATTTAATTCTGTACAAACTAGTCTTTTAATTCACATTGTACAGTTGTATGTTTTTTTTTCTTCTTCTCTTGTAAATACGATACATTATGTTGTTGAAAATACTGGAATCCTACTGTGTGCTATAATGACTATTATTTACAAGTACTATTACTATTGAACAGACCAATTGTAGCCCATCACTGATTCAATATTGAATACACACATTAACTATAATTGTTAGAATATTTTCATATTAATATCTATTTCTAACACTTTGTTTATTAGTGATAAACTTTCATGTGTGTGTATGTATGTATGTATGTATGTTGATCTGTATTACAGTTTGGGTCTGTGCACTACACTTCACTTCACTGCAACCACAACAACAACACACACACACACACTCTCTCTCGATAATCCTCAAATTGTACGTGTATTTGAAAGAAAAAGAAAAGAAAAAAATTGCATATATAATTAATTAATTAGTTTCAGTTAACTTTGATTTCTCTCCCCCCCCTCTCTCTCTGTTTTTATTGTTATGGTTCTAGTGAAAGTCGTGGAGATAAATAATATAATTATATATATTCACTTGGTGTTGTTTACTTGTATCTACCCATTCTTATTTAGGCTTGCCATTGATCAGTCTTTTGTTGGCATATGTGCATCCTATGCGAACTGCATCATCGGTATTGCCTTAAGTCATAAGCTTTATAAGCAAAGATGGATAGTGGTTCACAGTGGAATCTAGAATATGCGTTTCGTCCTATTTTGGACTTGTCAACTGGATGTACCTTCATGTCAGAGTTGGTGTTCACTTCGGAACGAAACGCTCGTCAAACTGGATTCTACTACTAGCCATTATGCATCTTTGAATATAATTATATGTTTAATATCTTTATATGTTCAAGGTTTATGCATTATTCAATAAATATCCATCCATTATCATCTTGTATTACAACAATCGAGTGTTTTAAGTTTTATATCTTACACATAAAGTATCATTATTATACTGAAATTATATTTGATCTGTCAATCGATTCTGATCACTATAGATTCACTTCAAGTAAAATTCTGATGCTAAATCGTGATCAGTCTAGTTCAATTGTGTTAATAATGTTATGAATGATTGATAAGTCTTGCAATTTGAACGCTATACTCGGTTTCTAAGCTATTCTTCCTGTAACCCCACAAGCTAGAACTATACAGCGACTTGAACACGAGAGAGAAGGCGCAAAGTATGCGAAAAGTACTTTACTCCAAGGTTCATTTTAATACAAAAAATATAAGGTTTTTATAATATTTTAAATGTCCTTGGGTTGCTCGAAGATTCTGGGATGCTACTAAACATAGTAGCAGTATAGCAATCAGCCAATCAGAACCTCTGCATATGACGTTTCACTTCCTCGAAGTTTCTGGCTAAGACTTCAAGTGAACGCTGATTGGCTGAAATGTTTCTTAGTGTTTCCTGATCCTTGCTTGTCTTTTGCGAGAAATTTTCTGGATCACCACAACACTGATAATATTTGGGTAATCATTTTTCTACATTAGAACCTAACTGGAGTTGTAAATGTAGATTGTTTCTATATCAACTCAGTGGTCTGAAAGTAGATCCCTCACTGTGAGGTTTAGGTACTATTCCAAATTGAATCACTTGATGGGTAGATTACTAAGGAGTCTCAACTTCATTTCGGTATGTTACCATCACCTTATTAATTAGACGTTCAACTTAAATACTTAGGGGAAGATGATATTTTTATGGGGAACCTCCAGTTTCGTTTTAATCGCCTGGATAATGGTTTATCATGGCGCTCAAATCATGAGGACTGCTCATCTCATATAAAATATATGTCAAACATAAAATAAATTGAAAACAAAAGATCACTTTGTGTTCGAGTCCTCGGAGTGATCATCAACTCTGGGATGCAGGTAAATCCAGCTGACTAGTCCCAAATAGGACGAAACGCGCGTCCTGGATTCCACTTCTAGCCACTATACATCTTTGCTATCAGACAAACTGGATTGATTAATAAGTTATCATTGTATTGAAGATAGAATAAAACTACTATTATATTTTTAGTAATATCCTTAAGAATTTAATGTGAAAACAAAGGAATTTGGCAAGATCGACATTCTCTTCTAGTGTTAGAATATCAAAAGTTGGACTGTCATTGCTAACTAGTATCTTAAATATGATTAATAGTATAGCTGATTAAGACAGAGGAATAAAGAAATCTTCACAATGAGACAGTCATCACTGATGGAAATGAATGATGGTTGTGCTATTATTGTAAATTGGATGGGGTCATCAGTGTAAAACCTGTTCCAACGCAAAACACACCACTTTAGCTTGTAAAACTGATCAACTCGATATGTTCTTCAGTTAATTGAATGTATATTGAGGTAATTTTCAATAGATAATCCTATATAGTTCATTAATGTAAGACTTTCAATATTCATGAATAGGACATTGTTGAGGATGTTAGATCCCTAGAACTCATTTGAAAAAGGTCTTAATTTTGTAATTTTCTTCTGAAAATTTGAATTTTATATTTTCGCGCCAAGAGACGCTTAGTGGAGCTACAGCTTACATTCCCTACTCGGAAATCCTTGACTATCATTGGTTGACGGATTACTTTAGTACGCTATTTTATGGCTCTCCCAAGGGCGTTTCTATCATTGTGTATGCTTAGTGACCTCGTCCTTTCTGGGTGCTTGTAGAATACATTCTCTACGTCTCATCAAGACTCTTTGATCTAGTTAGCAGTGCCGGGGACAACACGACCACTATTTAAAATATGAAAGCCCTAGGAGTCCGTTTCGTCATAGTATGAGATTCCTCATCAGTGTGTATCCATGATATTTCACGCAAAAATGCAATCGATGGCTTTCAGTTTCTTGTGCAAATGTCTAACATCTTGACTAGTGAAACGAATCGATGATTATTTGATTAGTTAGAAGTAATCCAGAAATTTAATGAGAAACTATCATTAATCTAGTTCATATCCGAACTCATCCAAACAACATCATTATAATGTAAATAAATATAAAAATACTAATCATTATTTCCTTTGTACCATTTAAACGTGAGTTAATTTAATCTCGGTTATTTATTTACTCTGAAGAAGTAGCTTACATTAAGTCACGAAACATCAGAAATAATTTTTTCCATTTATCAGGATATAACAAAAAAATAAATTGATTAATAACTTTCGACCCAATGCTTAATTTATTTGAAACTATCAAGTTCAACGTTCGAATTGATACCTCAAGGATATACCTGCATCTCAGAGTTGATGTTTACGCTGGAATTCGATCTCAGTATCATGAACTTTAAACATCATCGCGTTATCCATTCAACTATTGAGGCCTAATAGCCACTTACTTGTGAAATGGGGTGAATATAAATTCATTTGATATTGTTTCACTGGAATCTTCCTATTGAGGTTTAAGACTGCAATTGATCAGTCTTTGATTATTGATATATGTGCACACTGTGCGTATTGCCTCGATATAGCCTTAATTCACAAGCTTTATAAGCAAAGATGGATTGTGGCTAGCAGTGGAATTCAGGACACATATTTCGTCCCATGTTGGACTCGTCAGCTGGATGTACAATATGCACAGTCGTTATTTGTTTCCTATATTTCTGCTGCCGATATCAGTTCATGAAATGAACTGACTTCATCTAAGAAAGTTTCCATAAAGTGACCTATGTCAATAATGTTTATGGGTGTAAGGAGATTTAAATAAGGGTTGGTATTTCTTTCTAAATAAATCTAGTACACCTTTATTATTATTATTATTAATCATTGTAAACAAATTTTAATAGTTTTGATAGAGGTTTAATGGAGAATGGTATGATTTTTAGATGGTATTCACCAAGGATTAATTTCCATTAGGGTATCTTCTTAGTAAACCAAAGAGCAATGAGTAACTATTTCATCCACACAGATAGCCACACTAGTAGTTATACCAACGAAACCTGATTCAGTGATCTGATCATTGATGTTCACTAATGAATAGTTTATTGTTAACCAATCTAATGTTAGTCCATACAAACCCCATACAAACGTTTATTTAATCAGAGAATCCTGATGTCCACATTTAGGGTTATCTTCAAAATAAACAAACAACCCCCCCCCCGAAATTCTCAACCATCCATTTACTGGTTTCTATGTTTTTGACGAATATCATGAAATCTTATTAACAGTTTGTAAA